GGATCAACATTATTTCCACATACAAAGGAGAGTCGTGGTATGTTTCTTACTTTCCCCCCCCCTCCCCTCCCCATCGATTGGACTTAGTAATAGTTTGAAATTGTTTTTGGAAAATTTAGTCCTATTTATTTTGGAGTGCATACTAACTAGCCCAACCCATATTCTTTGTTGGTGAGATGCTGTTTTCAAATTCACATAGTTAAAAATGAATTATGTTACACCCTATTGATTATGGGATAAATACTACACACTAGGCCTCACTGCTTCTTTCCTACAGGGAGGCATCGGGAGAGCACCATATTTCATTTATATAAGTCTGATATTTAAAACCGAAGTTGCAGTTAGTATGATTGTTTCCTTATTAAGGCTGTTTGAATGACAACATAGAATAATGTCTTGAATTTATTTTTTTTCTACTTTAAGGACAATCTTATTGTGAATGATAATAGATATTATGGAAAAACAGGGAAAAGCACCTCTTGATAACAACAAAATTTGTTTATCTTTTTTTTACAATAATGTTAATTTTATAAATTAATTGGGAGAAGGAATAAATATAAATGAGTTACTAGTTTAGGGAATTTTCCTTCATTTTTAGTTACTAGTGTAATGAGGAAAAAAAATGATACATTAAAATCTGAGTTTATAAAATAAAAGCTAAGAAGTTCCAGTAATGTTTTATAGAACATTGTAAAATTTTTCACCATTGTATTTCTCTCTATAGTACACTTTCAAAAGACTTTAAAGTAATAATAGCCTAAATTTGAAGAGCATTTTTTGTTCGCAAAGTGCTTTTATATACAATATTTAATTCCATCTACTATAAAACCCTGTGAGCTGTCATTATCTTTTTTTTACAGTTGAGGAATTGAGGCTCAGTGAGATTATGCAAGTGGCCTTTCAAAGGTCACATGGCACTTTTTAATTAACGAGTTTGGTTCTTGTGTGGCCTCACCAAGCATGTGTGTCATATGAAGATAACGTGGCATCTAGGAAATCATTGTATTTCTTTTGAAAATGTGTTTTTATTAACTACCTTAGAGACTCTCTGTTACCAACATGCATAGTTTCAGCTAAGGAATGAACTCCTTACACTATAGTGTTTGAAAATGAAATAACATTAAAAAAAAAAGAAAAGAAAAAGAAAAACAGGTCGACCTGCTGATTATCTGCATTAGTGCTTGGCAAACTATGCCTCACAAGCCAAACACCCCCACTGCCTGTTTTGTAAGTAAAGTTTTATGGAAACACAGCCTCACTCACTCATTTATATACTGTGTATGAATGCTTTCGCACTACAGTGGCAGAGTTGACTAGTTACAATAGAAATTGTGACCTGCAAACTTAATATATTTACTCTTTATAAATACAGATAAAGTTTGCCAACCCTTGGTCTACATCATATTGAAAAACTACCTTGAATGATTTTGATGAAAATATTTACGTCTATATTTAGACAACCTCTCAAGGAAAAAAAAAAACAAAAAAACAAAAAAACAACAGATTTGGAGTAATTGGATGAGTCTTGGAGAATTCCAAGAAGAAATAGTGATTTGTTTCTTACCAGTTTTCTTAACCAGTAGTGACAAGTAGTAGAAATCTTAGGGCCTTTCACAAATTTATTTAACAACTACTACGTGTGAAACTCTATGCTAAAGTAAATGTATTAGTTGGGAAAAACAGTGGATTGCGAGGGGATCCACCTGAGCTTCAAGGCCACCTCTGTGATTAGCTCATTCTGGCACATTCTTTCATTTCCATTGGTAGACACTGCAGTTTCATTTCATCTATAATTCTGTAAATGCTTCCTATTTAATACAGCCCCCTCCTCAGCATGGAGAGAATTGCTTTCTCCTCTCAACCTTCATTTCATTCATTTAGCTCTTAGCATGCACTAATGTTTCTTGGTTTGTTTTAGTCTTTACGAATTCTAAGCTCATTTTTATTATTCATGTAAAACATTTGTTGTAGAAAGAACAACAGAAACAGATAAGCACATTTTAAAAAGCTTTTAATTTGCCTAAAGAGAATTCTAAACATTTATTGTATATCATTACTAATATTTTTACTATGGTAAATGGACAAACTGTCTCTTGGGGGGGAAAGCCCTGATTTTCAGTATTTGCTGATTTCTGTGATGTAAATACTGCTGTCATGGCCTATTTCAAGCTACTAGTTGTTTAATATCTGGCTCACAAAATTCCTAACTATTTAACAGTCTCTTGAGTCAGTTTGAGCCAGCTCAAGCACTCCACTGTTTATGTGTATGTGTATGTGAAATTTATATGTATTTTTATACATATGTAATTTTCTTTTTATAAAAAAATGGAATTTTCTATATAAATTCTATTGTAATTTACTTTTTTCACTTATCAAATTTTATATATCAGTAGATGTATGTCTATACTGTCAATTTTAAGAATTGGATAATATTTAATTGAATACATATATTATGATTTATTTAATCATTGTTTTATTTTGGGACCTTTAGAGTATTCCTAGAATTTTACTATTGCAGATAATGCTGTGACTCAAATTCTTGCAGCGGGCTTTCTTTTGAAGTAAGTTAATATATGAGAAATATTTTATAAACTGAAAGTGCTGTATAAATATTAGTTGTATTTATTATTTGTTATCCTTATTATGCATATATCCCATTTTCCCATTTAGATTGTGAGCGCCTCTGAATGAGGCAGGGCTATCCAGCTGTCTTTGCATTCCCCACAGCACTTAGTAAAGCATGTCTGCATTCATCACTTATTTGAGAATGAAGACAATGGTCAGTTTATTCTGTCTTCTAGTCTTTGCTGTGGTCAGTAATCCAACTGTGAAGTTGTTAGGCCTCAAACAGTCCTCAGTCATAGATTTGAGACTTTCTTCAGAGCACACTCAAATGGATCAGCTGGACTTGAACTCATAATCTGAACTTCATTATTTTCAGTTGAACAAATTGGTCCAGGCTGTTCTACGTGTTTTCATGTAATATGTTAATGTGTTCCCGACCTTACTGGACAAAACATAGCAAACAAACCTATCTCTTTCTCCCTCCCCCCATTCTCCCCTCCACACACACACACATACACAAACTGATATGTATGCTCTGTATCTTCTTTCTTCCAGGAACAAAAAAATAAAGGTAATAATCACAAAATATGTCCACTTTGTATTCACCAGAGAGTTGCCTGCATTTCCTCTCACATCAAGTTTTATTTTATTACTTCAAATTATGAATGTATTCTCATTGTCATAGTTGCCTCAGGGTGAGAGTACAAAGTTAACAACATTCAATAAAATAAGTGAAGCCATAAAATCTTCCGGCAGCATTATAAGGTTGTTATAAAAATCCATGCTTGAGGGGAAAAAAAAATGTCTTTTAATAATTTTAAACTGAAAGCCATGAGTATTTTTCTTAGGAAAATTCCATTTTCCCCAGCATTTTATTATGAAAATTTTCAAGCATGCAGAAGACAACTTGAAAGAACTGTACACTGAACACCCAAGTACTAACCACTTAGATTCTGTAACTAACATTCTATTTCACACATTTATCCATCCTTCTATCAATCCACCAATCCATTTCTGTGTGTGTGTGTGTATGTGTGTGTGTATGTACACTTTAAAGTAAATTGCACACATCAGTACTCTTCCTTCAGTATCCATATCATTACCTGAAGAGGAAAACCCAAGGTGACCGGTTAAGGCTCTATCCCTAGGGTAGGCTTGAAATGCCATACATAAGACATAGCTGGCAGGCCTCCAGGCATGATTGGCTTTAGTCATGTTCCATAAGGGCTCATGCAAGCAGAGAGATAGGAAATATATTTTGGTCTTTCAGGGGAATGCTAGATGGCAAACTGCTCTGTGCTGGGGGATCTCTATACCATAGCTGCTGCTTTAACTGAGGAGATTCGGGGTATTTATTGAATATGTGAAAAAATACATATATGTAAAGAGATATCTATACCTGTGTGTGTATTTATATATGTGTGTGTATACATACACGTACACACAGACATACCATATTATGTCCACAACAACGTGGCATAGTAGGATTATCTCTGCTTTGTAATTGAGGGCTCAAGGGCTAATGACTTCTCCAGGGCTGCACAGCTAATAAGTGTCAGGAAGGGAAATTGAACATTTTTTCTATGGCTCTGGAGCCCGAACCATTTCTTGTTCTCTACTTTACTTCCTTGCCTCAGTGGGCTTCAGTGTCACCTCTCTACACTCAGTACCAGTTGGCCTGCTGGAAGGCCTCAGAAGGACTGCATGCTTAGAACCGGTCCTTGGAGTGGATGATTTTAGAGGAGGGGCTGCAGTCCAAAGTAGCCAAATCAAGGCTTTGCGAATCAGGCTAAGTGTAAGCAGGGTAACTGAGAAAAGACAAAATCCTGTATGTCTCTGATTATCACTTGTTAATTTGTTTCTAGGTGTTTTGAAGTCTTCTGCATCTATTGTCAGTCAGGCCACATCGAAGAGCCTTATGTCAGCATCACCAAGAAGCGACAAATGCCAAAAAATGGCCACTCAGAGGAGATTGAAAAGGAAGTAGGCCAGGCAGAGGGCAAGCTGTTCACCCACCGATCTGCGTTCAGCCGGGCATCCGTGATCCAGGCTTTCCTGGGCTCAGCCCCCCAGCTGACCCTGCAGCTGTATATAAGCGCCTTGCAGCAAGACACCACAGTGGGAAGAAGTATGTATATTTTTTATTTCTGCCTCCATTTGGGGATCAAAATCGGGAGCAAAACACAAAGTTTTATTTTGTTTCAGGTGAAGTTCATTCATATGTGCATTCAATCCTGAGTTTGCATTCTAGTTACTCAAATCAAAACTTAAGTTAAAATAATAACAACATTAATTTGCTTATGAAGCTGCAGTTTGGGCAAGGCTGAAAAAGGCTCACCTACACACCACTGTGCATCTGCTGGAGCGGCCTAAAGATGGAGGGCTAGAATCCATTGAAGGCCCATTCACTCAGATTTCTTATAGTTGATGCTAGTTGTTGCTGAGGCCTCAGATCTTTTCCATTTCATTTCTCCATTTGGGCTAGTTTGGGCTTCTTCAGGACATGGTGGCTGCTTTCAAGAGCCAGTGTCCTAAGAATGAGAGCGAGACAGGAAGAATATTGCCTTTTGTGATCTATCCTTGGGAGTCATGTGATATCACTTCTGTTGCATATTTTTGTTGTTGTTGAAGCAGTCAGGAATCCTGATGAGGTTCAAAGGAAGGAGAGGTAAGAAAACTCTGACTTGTTGGGGAAAGGTAGAGTTCTGGAAGTTCACTGCTGTGACCACGTTGGAAAATACAGCTTGTCGTATTGTCTGAAAATACAGCTAGCAGCAAGAGGCCAGGCCTCTTTGGATTTTGCCTCTGTCTTTTAGTGATAGTTCTAAACCAGCTGAGGCAGTTGGTCGTAACAGCTCATTTGTGGTGAATGATGTAAGCAAGAGCACTCTCCTATCTTCTTGCAGGTCAAATAGATATCTCAGCTTTTAAATGAGTAGTTCTCTACCCTTTGGGCTACTCTCACATTGTCAAATTGAGGGCAGGTTTTGGTTTAGCCAGATTTCAAAAAAACCTCTACACGCATGGACATAATTAAAAACCTTCATGTGGGAAGAAGTGATAGTCACTTCCAAATATTAATATTATAAGTAAATGAAAACCAGATAGTCCAGTAAGTTTTACCATATAGATAAGTAAAAACGAATTAAAACTCCTTAAGTTGGAAAAAATGCATATTTAAGATAACACTGCAATTGGAATTTTAAAAAATAAATCACTCTTATTAATTTCATTTCTCTCAGTATTATCCTTTCTCTGCCTATATTCCGGGCTAGATGGTAAATGTCTTGATTTATGGCTGGGTCACAGGATATTGGCATGTCACAGCTGTCTCCCTTATCTAGGTTACCTCAGAATGACTATAATTCTTAAGATAAATCAGGACCTTAATTGAGGTCTTGAACCTTGGTGGATTAACATTTATGTGAAAATGCCTCCCAGAGCCCCAGGCAGGCAGTAGATGCTCAATAAATACAGCAGCATCCTTGTTCTCTAAGGACTTATAACTGGAATGGACATTGACCAAGGTGAGTCCTCTGCATGCCACTATACCCTTTTTCCAGTTCATTGTTTTTCCATGTGGCAGACAGGGACACAAGAGACTAGATGTGGCGAGAGTCTGTTTAATTTTTACAAGAAGACCCAATTTTTTTCTCAAGTTTTTGAAAATGAAGATTGGCCGGTGACAGCTCATAGGCCAATTAGGCACTGCTTGTTTTGTAAATAAAATTTTATTGAAAACAGCCATGCCCTTTCATTTACCAACTGTCTATGTATGCCTGCTTTTTTAAAAAAATTTTTTTAGCAGAGTTGGTTAGTCACAACAGAGAATATATGGTCCACAAAATCTAAAACATTTACTAACTGGCTCTTTACAGAAAAAGATTGCCAGCCCTCATTATAGTTTTTTAGACAGAATCCTGTTCAGGAAAATAAAACCTGTTTCTTAAAATGTCAGTGTCACAAAGAATATCTGTGAGATATCCCCCAATAACTTGGAAAAATGTAAGTTTTCTGAGTTAAACAAGAAATCAAATATATATGGGAAAAGGAAATGGGCATGGTCCTCTTAAAAATTCAGATGGCTGTCATTTATGCAGGTCTTAACTAACCCAAATCACTGCCTTAACATATCTGGGGAAGGAATTTCTCACCAGGAAGGGGAAAGGCAGTTATAATTGGAGCATGGGCGGGGGTGTGTCAGAGGCAAACGTCAGTAGTATCCATCATGTGATTAGGAATGCATTTGCTGCAAGGGACAAACACTTGACTACAGGTTAAACAACCTGGGGTTTATTTTGCTCATCTAACTAGAAATTGGAGGGAGGCAGTTGCTGGAATTCTTTCAGCTGCTCACAGTAGCAAAGTCAGTGCCCCTGCAGTTCCATTCATTAGTCTTTCTCTTGGATTGCTGCTGCAGCACCAACCATCATAGCTGCCTTCAAGGCAGGAAAAAGGGATGAAGGCAGAAGGATGATTGTCTTTCTCCTTTTAGTAGTAATGGCTTTCCCAGAAACCTCCCTAATAGACCTTATGTAAGTCTCATTGACCAGAACTGGTCACATAGTCACCTAGACACAAGGCATTATAGGAAAGCTGAGCATAGGAGTGGTTGCTACCCTTGGTCCCTTAGACCAGAATTCCTCAAACTTCCCTGATGATAATTAGAATCACTGGATTCTTTGGTCCCTTAGACCGGAATTCCTCAAACTTCCCTGATGATAATTAGAATCACTGGATGGAGAGACAAGGCTTATTAAAAATGCAGGGATTACCAGTCCTCATCCCTAGAAATTGTCATTTGCTGGGTCTGGTATGGGAGCCCAAGATATGTCTTTTTATTTCATTTCTCTTTTGTTTTTTAAACAAGTACTTCAAGTGATTTTTATTATCAGCAGAGAATGGAAACACTAGATTAGCATAGTCCTGACCTAGCTAGGGTTGGACCCATTGCCACCCAGAACAAAATCATGTTTTCTTAAAATATAAAGGGAAGAATGGATATTAAGTAGAAGACTATCATCAGAACCTGACCCCATTCAACATTCAAAGTCTATAACCATCTCCTCTCTGATTTTGTGCTCACTGAACATATATTGATGAATTTGGCCACAGCAGATCTTGGCCTCAGGGAGAGAAGATGGAGCCAACCATATGCTTCACTGGAGAGTCGTTTTTTGTTTTGTTTTGTTTTGTTTTTCAATTGAAATATAATTCATATAACATAAAATTCACCACTTTTAAATGTGCAATTCAGTGGATTTTAGGATATTCACAATGTTGTACAATCATCACCATTATCTAATTTTAGAACATTTTCATTACATCGAAAAGAAATTCCATACTCATTAGCATCCACTCCTCATTTCCTTTCCCCTAGCCCCTGGCTATCACTGATCTACTTTCTGTCTCTGTGGACTTGCCTGCTGTACATATTTTATATAAATGGAACCATAGACTATTGGAGAGTTTTATTTCTCATAGGCAGTGAATAATGGACACTTTCTATGAACTTCAGACTTTGAGTGAGTCTAGTCAGCTTGATCAAGTCTCTGGACCTTGGAGGAGGGGTTGCACTGAGGCCCAGGTAAACACACTAAGGTTAGTATGTTCCACGAAGGCCCCTGAAGCCTGCCATTTGGCCTGCCTGGAACTCAAAGTGCCTGTCTCTCTTCTGCTCAAGGTGGTAATGTTAGTAGTAATGACGACTGCTACACAAACCTTTGCTTTGTGCCAGGCACTGTGATTAGCATCATCGTGTGTTTCGTTGTCACAGTATTGCTGTGAAGTAGACAAGATTACCTCTATCTCACTAAAGAAGGAAATTGTACTTACTGTCCACCAGAGGGAGCAGGATTTGGAGTTAGATTTATGTGAACTCAGTCATGAATTCAGTGAGTAGTTTATTGAATATGTTCTGTGTTCCTGACCCTGCACTGGGCTCTGAGGATAGAGCGGTGAATAGGGTGGACAGGCCCCTATGTGTTCGGAACAGGATAGACAAACATAAAGCAAATAATTAGTCATACTTATTTAAGGTAAATCCTGCAAAGTGAAAGTCCTGTGTGAGGGTATATTGCGGAGCTCTTACGAAGGCTGGGAGATGATAGAAAAACTCTCAGAGGAGCTTAAGTTTAAACTAAAACTTGGTAGATGTGGAAGAGGAGTCAAATGCAGGAAGAGCATAAAAGAGCATCCCAGGATTTTAAACTGTATCCCAGATGCAATAAGAAGGCATTGCTGAGTGTTAAGTAATGCAGTGGCCATGATCAGACTTAGTTTTAGAAACTGATTGATTGCTCTAGAAAGTGGGTTGGAAGGGAGTGAAGGGAGAAACAGGGAGGCCAGTAAGTAGGATGCCACAGTTGTCAAGGTGAGAATAACAACTCTGGCAGGAATAGTAGGAATGAATTACTGGAGCAATATTAATGATGTAGAAGTAGAATGAGGTGATGATCAATTGAATGGGAAGATGAAGCAGAGGGAGATGTCAAAAAATGGTTCCCAGGTTTCTGACATGGGCAGTTGTAACCTTGGGGTCCATTTGTACTGGTGAAGCATCCTGGAAAAAGAACAGGTTTGTGGGGTATGTTTTTGCTTTCATTTTCAGACTTTCTAAAATGAATACATTTTAAAGATTCTATTTGACTCATGAGAGAACCAGCAGATGTTATAACCGACTCAAAAGAGAATCCAAAGTACAGACACATGAATATTGACTAGGGATATTGAAATAAATGTGTAACTGGAGGTAAAACTGGCTTCAACAGGAGGGAGAAGGACGCAATTGAACCTCTATTGTACTAGGTGTTATGCATGTCAATCAGTAATCTAGAGCTTACAAAGGGATGCAGGAGCTCAAAGACAATGGAGGACTAAAAAAAAATCAGACAACTCCAAGTAGTGTCCTAAGGACAAGGTAATGTTTCCATTGAAACATTTTATTTTTTTTTTACTAGACTGTTAAAGTCAACTAGAAAGAGTTCCCTGAAAAGGAGGGTCAAGTTACCGGTAGACCAGGTTCCTATTATGGGCATTTCTAGGCCAGTCCTGATCAGGACCCAGAGGACACCAGTGACATCACAAAGTCTGAGTTGTCACAAAGGCAGCTCCCTGACCAATGAAGGG